TCTCTACCTGTTTGTCGGCCGCCCGCCTTATGGTGATATTTCGATAACCTGAACTATATCTTCCTCTCATTTCAGGACTTCAGCGGCCAAACGAACACTCCTCACGAAGAGACCGCGCCTCCCAGAAGGACATATGTAAACTGCAAAACGACCAATACATCTCAACATTCAATGACGTCCATTTCGAGCCTCTTCTCTGTTACAGAAGGACGGGTGCGCTAGTTAGTTAGGCATCGTGTACCCCTAGCCGCATGTTAGTGGTGTGCGTCGGTTAAGATCGTTCAGCTGTCTGGTATTATCGACGTAGGCTCTATGTGGCTAGTTAGTTAGGCATCGCGTACCCCTAGCCGCATGTTAGTGGTGTGCGTCGGTTAAGATCGATAAACCTCGAGGTCTTTCTAGCATAATTCGCAACCTATAATGAAAAACTCTGGTTTTTGCCAGCAAACGTGCAAGATGTTTAGCAAATAATTAGCATGCACTACGGAATTTTTACTGGTAACAAAGAATCATCGACCAAAATTTGTTTGAACGAATGCGCCTACGCATATGTTGCATCTCCAAAAGCCATTTAGATTCTAGAATGTTGAGGAAATCTGTTCCGGTGGAAAAATACATGAAAGTTCCGCTCATTGTATGTGAGTCAACCTTTTCCACAATTCGTGATTTTTTATCATCATGTAACGTATTCACAGTCGGTGGTGTTTATTGACCTTGAGAATTTGCTCACTTAAACAAATCGCCATAGTAAATGATCTTCATTAATACAAGAGCATATACATTATGCATAAACATTCTACACTATGAAGTGGCAAGTTCAAAAATGCCGTAGATTTCGAGAAATCAATCTCATTGTGCGAATAGCCAGCGGCGACTGTCTGGGGAAGTGTTTGATTTCTGGAAAGAATGTCGCCAAGCGCTACAACTTTATTTTCAATTTTCTGTCTTTCGACCTATTCCAGAAGAGTTTTGACTATTTTTCAATAGTTCGACCGGTTTTTTATGCACTTTGCTCCTCGCCACCGACTGTCATGTTTTCTTGACCACAAGGATTCGGATTGTTTGCAGAGATGTTCATCCGAGTCAGCAGAGAGGCAGTCCTTCGAAAGTGAGATAAAGATTTTTGGGTCAAGCGTACTGCGTGAACAACTGTCACCATTTTCACGCATTATGACCGCAGTACCAAAAGAAAAGAATATTCCGTTCACATTCATGTTTTGAAAGGGTGAACGTGATATGTCTGCGTGTATAAAAGTATCTCAACTCACTGTGCGGAAGTTCTGAGGATAGCAACCGGGTGGGCTGAAAAGGAGAATGTGGTGTATTAGTTGGATGTAACAGTAAGTTGGTAACTCTCGCCAACTGTCCACATAGAAGCACAAGAGCGTAGGTTCAACGATTCTCTGAACACGTGGGGCTTTAGGAGAGAGAGAGAGCAACGGGGAAACAGGGGGTACAAGCATATAAACATCAAACGGTGGTAGTCACTGGGGAGGGCGATCATCTGTCCGGTATTCAGCGATGTCTTCATTTTCTACCATCGTTACCGCCGCCGCTTCTGAAAGTAGATAAAAGAGATTGTGATTAACGATGGCGCGCAGTTTGACATCCATCGGCGCATTACAGTGAATAACGGTTACTGAGTGACAGAAATTCCGCCGCCCCAGGCAAAACCGGAATGGAAAGTTGAGGTGTTGAATGATGTGTTCATTACAAAATGACTTCCGTTTATAAGCTTCATCAAATTTCACGACTTTTTTGACTTTGTGGACACCCTGGCGACCATTGCCGAAGCAAAACGGCGTTCGGGCTTCTTTGTCCGCCCCTGGGGCGGAAAAACTAGGTACCTCATCTCTTGAAACTAATTTCTCACCACCAGACCAGAAAAAGATGCCATGTGCCGAAAGAAATCTTTGTGTTGCTTGGTTTAAACGGGTTTTGAATAACGATAGGCATATCAGATTCCATTACCTTATTCCACCTTGCTCACTTGGGTTTTTGCTTCAAAGCCTCCCTCTATAATGCTACATTCTTAGCAGAAAATATCTATGCGAGCTAATGTCGGTCAGCAAAACGCAGATTTAAATTCACGGACACGAAAACGTTATTTTAGAGGCGAATTCTTCAAGGGTACTAGAAATTTGAATGGGACTTCCTTTTTCTATTTCCTAAGCGTAATTCCATCAGAAATGGCGTGTCGTTATTTTTCAGAATTATGGATTCTCGGAGCATCTCACCAGTTGACTAAAGTCTTCAAATGACGGTGCCCCGATCCACGAAAAATTAAAAGTCGACAGCCGACATTGAAGAAATAAAAGTATAACTAATGGTTGGCCCACCGTGCACACGTCAACTCCAGCAACAAGCGGTAATAAACTGCGAAAGATTTGTAGATTGGCCTTGATGATATAACGAAGATTTCGTTTGCGACAAGTGTTGGCCTCAACGCCAAGCAATCCCAGCAGATACGGAGAGCAATACTGAAATTTCAAGTCTTAAAATCTTTTGCAGAAGGCACACAGTAGGAACCAAACTTTATTGTACCACCAGAAATTTGTCCTAAAGCGTGCATTTCATAACTTCACCATCTTTCTGTGGAAATCGAAAGTAGCAAATCGCTGTGCATCGACAAACCACCGAATAATTGGGAGGTAAAAATCACGTATGGCCCCTTGATAATCCTATCACGAGGTTGCGAAATGATAAGCTGCAAAAACAGCTTTGCGGGAATGCAGTAAACAGAGGACAACGACTAAACACGGAACCACTTCTCATTTAGCTATAAACGACTGGACCTTCTAGTGCATAACACCTAGTCAAACGAGATAAAGGCAGACCCGCACAGAAGTGATAAACGTGAGTGAAAAATGATATGAGACCGATATGAAATTAATAGTTACTCCTAATTAAAATTGTTGCGGTTTGTGCAGGCGCTTCCCTACTTTTGCCTTGGATTCAACTGTGCTGCAGAGTTTCAATTCGCTTGAATGATGCCTGAATGCAGGTTTGCTTGTGAAAATTTGGATAGTTTCTCTGCTCGTCCAGAATTAGATCCCTATGCGTAGGCATTTTGTAAACTTCCGTTTGCAGTTTTCCATTTGACAGCCTTGTGACAAGGATATCTGAAAACGCCAAGTGGATGCTGTCCTCTCCCATCTTGAACTCGATGTCATCGGGAACACTATTTATCAACAGGACTGCTCGTTGTAGCTCACCCTTTTCAACGACGATGTCGTCTACATAATCTATCAACAGTTTTGTGTTGATATCTGGTAATAAGAGCTGTTCCGGTTTTTGCACCACTATTTGGGCGATGAATCCTGAAATGGGAAAATTCAATAGCGCCCCCTTCTGTTATTCATAGTATTCACCGTTGAGTTCGAAGTAGAGGTTAAGCAGTTCGCATGTCTTCCTTCCTCAGAGATCCGCTATGAAGCCCATGACTGTCCAGCAGTTCAGTGAATGGAGGTCTACGGGTGTGAACAGTGAGCTGACGCCAAATGATACCATGGTTTCGTCCTCTTATATTGTCACGTTCTATACTTGATCCAAGAATTGTTGTGCGTATCTTATTGGGTGTTGCGAACCCCTGATGAAGAGAATGGCGCTCCTCATAACTCCTTTGCAAGGTTATGGGTTGGTGTGCCTCGGAGTGATACAATTAATCATAATAATATGATCGCCTTGTGTATTTTGGCAGCGCATGGAAGCGTGAGGCATTTGATTCCTTGGCTGTCATTCGCCAACAATTAATCAAATAATATGATCGCCTTGTGTATTTTGGCAGCGCATGGAAGCGTGAGGCATTTGATTCTTTGGCTGTCATTCGCCAATATTTTTTGATTGTGATCTTTAGCATATAACGCACCAGTTAGGTTTGGATCAATCAAGAAACTACTAAAATTAGAGGGCACCAAACCAACTGATCGAACGACAAAGTGGTCGATCCCGAAGAAATACGGTCACGAACGAACCAACCGAAAATGAAAACGAGGGGCGACAATTTCAACAGTAGCTTGGCCGTGAAGGGCGAAAACCGTAATGCAACGCAGATTATAATTGGACCAACCAGAATCCAGTTGTGATGATTATCAGTGGTAAATTAGGCTAAGGCTCAAGGCTGTTATTTGCAACTGGTATAAACGCAAATACGAAGAAGGACCACCCACCCAATAGCGCACTGAAGATGTCCACTAGAATGGTGACAGAACGTTTGCAACTCGGATTCTCAACAGGTCAACAGACACCTGATCAATTGGTACAATTTTATTTGCGTGCCGACCAAGATTCAAACCCACGGGCGTCATACTATTGGCTTGACTATCTTCAAATAAGCCCGACAAGCATCAACTAAACGGGGATAATGCCCCCACAGAAGAGATCGCACAATGGGACATTGTGCCCCGCTCATTTACAAGTTCGTCATCAAACTTGTTTACAGCTCTTAGCATCTGTGAACGTTCCGTACCCATGTTAGACAGGTAGGCCATCTGCGAAATTTCATCTGGCGAAGAGTCAGTTACGCGTGAATCAAAATGTTCACAGATGTAAGGTCGGAAGCAGACATCGGAGTTCTCTTGGAGACACATCGATTAGTACTGTGTTTCTGATAGCAGTCGCCATACTTGAAGAAGCTTTATTTCCATGCGTAGTTTCTCCATCCCATCATCATCATCATCATCATCATCAGTCCTCAAATGCTTCACTGCCGTACAACCATGACTTATCTGAAAGCCTTATTGTAAAGAAAAGAATAAAGATGGATGGAGGAGGGACGGGACTCCAGCTTAACACAATCATTCCGAGGTGTCTACACCTCCAGACATTCACTCAGACAATCTGGATAGAAACTGGCAACAAGAACGCCACTGACATCGGTTGGCAGCCATGTCTTGTAGTGTCTCCAACCAGGCACAGTGAGGATCACG